AACCACAAGGTTAGCAGTTCGAATCCACCAGCCACTCTTCAGGAGAAAGATGAGGCTTTCTGCTCCTGTAAAGATATAGGGTTTCTGAGGAGCAGCTGGTGGGTTTGAACTGCTGAACTCGTGGTTTGCAATTTACTGCTAATCCTGTTGCACCACACCAGGAGTCCACATAACATAAATGGATCTCCATTACTATGGATTATGCTGTGATCCCCCAAAATATGTGTTGGAATCCTAACTCCTTTACCTGTGGATATAATCTTATTTAGAAACAGGATTTTTGTGATGTTAGATCCTGAGTAGGGTGGATCCTAAATCTAATCACTTTTGAGTTATAAAAAGAATCTGGACACCAAAGTATGCATAAACAGGGGACCAACAGATAGCCTGTGAAGATCTTCTATAAGCCAAGAAACTCAAATAGCCCTGGGCTACTGGTAAGGAAGGAAAGAATATGGGAGAGGACTTCTAAAAGCTCATGGAAAAATGGAATTGAAAGATAATGAATTTTTTTCCATGACTATTTAAAAGCCCCTTTACATAGTCAAGACCATGACTTAGGCTTTTAGACTCCAGAACTGTGAGCAAATCAATTTCTGTTCTTTAAAATCATCACTTACGGTTATTTTGGTAACAGCAGAAGTAGGAAAGGAAGCTACCCATCTTCTAACAGTAGGGAGCTCTGGTACCTTAGTGGTTAAGAGTCAGGCTGCGAACTGCAAGGTCAGCAGTTTGAAACTACCAGCTGTTCTGTGGGAGAAAGATAAGGCTTTCTGCTCCCATAAAGATTTATAGCCTCAGAGACCCTGTACAGGGTTGCTATGAGTCAGAAGCGACTCCACAGCACACCACCACCATTATGACTTTATAAAACAGCCAATAACTAGAATATCAGCCTATAAGATTTCAGGAGTTAGAAATGAGAAAGCCCCAACATTTCACCTTATATCACATGTTTAAAATCTGTTCTTAAATGACTCTTCTGAAATACACTCGACATCTTAGCCTATTGGGAAGCATTTCATAAAGTCACACTTTCAAGATGACACCTAACTGAACCTAGAAGCACCATGGCTCTGCAGGATGACTGTCCACAAGGTTGGCAGTTCAAGCCCATCAGCTGCCTACTGGAAGAGAGATGAGGTTTTCTGCTCTCATGAAGATTTACAACCTCAGAACCCCTATATAGGCTCGCTGTGAGTTGGAATCAACTCAATGACAATAACAACAGAACCCAGAAATAAAATGGCCCCAGTAAACCCCTCTCTGCCCAGCTACATGAGACAGAGATGGTCAGAATGGACTATGCTGCTCAGAGATACAGAAAAAGCTGAGGTCAAGTCAGCTTACCAAGTCACCTGGTTTCTATGTGGGTACACTAAGCCTTTTAGTGTGGTCAGTACAAAGCAGAATCATAGAATGGTAAAGTTGGCAAGAACCAAGGAGACATAACAACAAACTCTGAGTTGCAGCAACGGACTCGAACAGACCAGTAATCACGAAGATAGTACAAGACTAGATGCTTTGTTCTGTTAATCATAAAGTGTCCATGAGTTAGAGCAGACTTAGGACACCTGAAAACAATAGTAGCAATCTGATTAGAATACTAAGACTCACCTGTGGGGCGGGGGAATTTAACAAACAGAAAATGACAGAAATGAGCAGAAACTGAGAAATGCTATAAAAAGTCAGATAAAAGAAAGACAAATTTGGGGTCGAGTAGGTCAGCAAAGTCTCCAGGGAGAAAATAGGATTTCAACTGATGTCTGAGGAGTCCTGGGGTGATACTGTAGGATAAGCACTGGACTGCAAGGGTGTTTGACCGCAAGGTCAGCACTTCAAACTCACCCTATAATATTCACTCTATTCAAACTGTTATCAACTCCTCAGAAACCCTATACAGCAAGGGTGGGGAATGTTTTTTCTACCAAAATTTAGAACATCATTCACGGGCCATACAAAATTATCAACTTAAAAATTAGCCTGCTATATTTGGTCAAACATTTAACTCACCCCTAATGCGGAGGCTAGAGTCCTGGTGTGGCGCTGTGGCTTCATGCACTGGACTGCAAAGTCACTTTGAACCCCAAGGTCGGCTCTTCAGTCTAACCAGCTGCTTCTCAGAAACCTTGTACAGGTCGCTATGGGTTGGAATCAACTCAATGGCATTTAACAACAACAATGTGACGGCCGGAACTGTGACTGCCTTGGCAGGGCCAGACCAAATGATTCTGTGAGCCTTATATGGTCCATGGACCGGATGTTCCTGCCCCCATCCCACCCCGCTCTACGGGGTCATTATGAGGCCAAATTGTCTTGACAGTACTTAACAATAATAATGAAAGATGTCCAGGTGGTTCAAGCATTGGGCTGCTGACCTCAAGATCAGCAGTTCAAACTCACCAGACTCTCTGCTTGTGATTAAGGAGCCCTGGGGGCACAAGATTGGGAGAAAGGTTAGTCTGTCTGCACCTACAAAAATGTACAGTTTGGAAATCCTTTGGAGCAGTTCTACTGTGCCATAGGGTCACTAGGATGACAGTGAGTTATGAAAGAATCAAAGTTGGGGGAGGGGGGGCGGGGTACAGGCAGGAAGGCATGAACCTGGGTTAAAAAGGACGAACAAGGAGCCTGTGGATCAACAAAGACAAAGTGACCAGCCTTCCTGAGGAAGAGACCAGCATTCCTGGGGAGTTGGGGGTAAGAGTGGCTAGATCAGCAGTTAAGTTAAATCAGAAGTTCATAATATTAAAAACAAACTAAGATAAGCAAAGCAAAAACAGTGCTTTAGGAAAATTAACCTGAAACCTGAATGGTAAAAAAAAAAAATGGGTACAAATTATTAAAACCTAAAATGGCAGGTTGGGAAAAAGGGATGAACCTAAGAATGTTTTAAAAGGAAAAAGTAATAGGATTTTATTATTGTTGTTGTTAAGTGTCATTGAGTCAGTTACGACTCATAGTAACCCTATTTCCTAGGAAGCGCTGGTGGGTTTAAACCACCATTCTTGCAGTTAGCTGTCCGGTGCTTATCCTACAACACCACATTTGGGGGCTGTTTATTCAGAGATGGAAGGGTAGCATCAGCAGCCGGAAAAGACAACATCCTTAACAAATGTCCTTTTCCACATATGAGAAAGTGGTTTCCACAGAGTTCCTAAGAAGTGGTTTTTTGTTTTTTTTTTAACTTCCATAGAACCATTATTTTTTGTCTCCCCATAAAAATCTGTAACTGAAGCCAGCAACCACCTTGATGTTTTCCAGCACACGAAATCTTCATTCAGAGCTCCATCTTTCAAGCCCAAATCAAAAGGGTTTTCTTTGTGGAATGTTGTTGCTGTTAGGTGTTCTTGAGTTGTTATCAACTCTTAGCCTGAGAGAACAAAACACTGCCCACTCCTGGACCAGTCTCACAATCACTGCTACACCTGAGCCCATTGCTGCTACTGCCACTCTGCCAGTCCGAACTTGTGGGCTACAAGTACAGTAAATGGTCAGTGAGGAGGACCCCCAGGATCTGTGATCTCAATTTCCTCTCCTTGGCATTTCAGAATGCCACCTTTGGACCACACGTCACCTCTGCTTTCCAAAATCAATATTATGATTCCAAAGGATTAGATTACAACTCCATTGTAAGTCAATTCTGACGTAAGTCAACTACTTCTTAATTTTTTTTTATTGCCTTTCATAAATCCAAACTTTGTCTTTGAAGAGTTGGAAACATTCCATTTACACTTACAGCTATGATGACATCAGCAAATTACACACTACAACATTACAGGGTGTACATATTAGTGACACACACACAAAAAAAAGGACAGCCATAAGCACAGTTTATCATAAATCAAATGCATCATAAATCAGGGACTACTTGTAAGGAGCTCTGGTAGCGTAGTGGTTACGAATCAGCCTGCGAATCTCAAGGTCAGCAGTTCGAAACTACCAGCTGTTCTGCAGAAGAAAGATGAGGCTTTCTGCTCCCGTAAACATTTACAGCCTCAGAAACCCTGTACAGGGTCACTATGAGTTGGAACTGACTCCACGGCACATAACCACCACATGTATTTTGTTTCTGAAATCAGATTTTTACATAGCACCCTACATTTTCATAAAAAATCCCACATAATTAGCATCCCCAAAAGAGGCCCTAATTTTATCTTCTAATCCAAAAAGTCCTAGTATGGCACTATAGGATAAGTATTGGACTGCTAACTGCAAGGTTGATGATTTAAACCTACCAGCCACTCCTCAGAAACCCGACTGAGCGAGGGTCACTGTGAGTTGGAACTGGCTCGATGGCACTGAACAGCCAAAAATATGTTTACTTAGTCCCCAAACAATTATTTTTCCAAATCTGCTTTTCTCCCATTCATTTACTCTTCATTCATCAGAATGTGGTCAGACGACTTGAAAGACAAGGGATTGTGTCCTAAGACTGACCTTTAAATAGTTAAAAATGTGTATCTGCCATTTGGTTAGGTGATTTGTCCTTTAAGTTGGAGAGACTGAGCCTATAAAAAAATTGAAGTGGGATCTGAACATGGCAAACTGTGTTTGCTTTTCTTAGCTAGATCTGCTAGTCTGTGTGTGCTATAAAATGGCATCATCCCTCCACTCGGAACTGCACCTTCCTACACAACATACGTCGCCCTGCCTTCTCTCCCCAGACTTCCCCAAGTAGATAAAGTTAACAATCCCTCCTGCATCTGTACTCAAACCCAGGATAAAATCATTAGTTTAGTTCCTGATTGTGGGTCATCTGAAAAGAGTTCCAAGATAGATTCTTTACAAGAGAGCATTTTAAAAATAGCCAATATAAAATGTTGCAACAGATCATTTCCACACTGGGTTTCTCAGAGCAAATTGTTAAGTGAAAGAGAAAGCCAGGACTCACAAACATTGAAGCAGGAACCATAGGCTTTTGTCAACGTAGATGAGTGTAGAAGCACAAATACAGACAGACAGACAGACTGGCCCAGGTGAGGGACATATGGACTTACCAGATTAAGGAATGTCAAGTACTTCCACTGTCCGCCATTTTGGAATATTTTGGATTTCTGTGGATCCCCTTCCGATTGGGAAATGTAATAGTTAAGGAAAATATACCAGCTCAGGATAAGGAAGTGGTATATGTAAGTAGAAGACATCTTTGTCATGACGAGCTCTCAGCAGGTACTGTGAATGCCTCAGGTAGCTTCCTCTGCAGTACTTGGACTTACAAAGCCACACAGCTGAAACTCTACCACAGGTCCAACCAGGATCAGGCTTCTGGGAGTGAGAATTGTGCCTCTCCCATTGGCTCCTTTTCTGATGAACTTGGAAGACAGGATTACTACTGCTTAATAATGGCAGATAATCTTTAGATGAGCAATACATTTCAACATTTAGGCTTTAACCATGGCAGGGAAGCATGCCTGAGCTGCACTTTGCACTATTTGACTGAGGTGGGGGCATGGTTAAGTGAACTTGTTATGAAATACCAACAACAGCTCATGAAATAGCATCATAGCCATATTCTCTTGCTCGCTTCACTGCCCCCTTACCCCTCACATTTGGGCACAACAAGGAAATTGTAATATTATCTCTTGAGAAAATGAGGAGCAGGTTGATAAACGAGGGCAGAGAGAATGTTGACGTGCTTAGGAGGTGAAGGAAGGTAAATAGAAAGGCAAAGATCAAGATCAGACACAACCTTTGATCCTCTCCGTGCAACTGATCCAAGGTTTGGTGTGGTTTTTCAAATAAAAAACCCAGGGCTATTTTCAGACATCCCATTGGCATAGATATTTCTGGGCCTGGAAGGAAAGGAGTATTGGAAGAGGTCTGCAGTCATGACCCCAACGTACCTGAGTTTAGACATTGCTGGGAACCAGTGAGGGCCTCTGCATTGCCTGGGAGAAGACCAGGATGCCCTAGGCTGGGGTAGGATGCAGAACTGGGCTCTGCCTCAAGCTCAACAGACGGGAACTGGGGGAGTTAGAAGTGGGTTACCTTGTGACATCACCAGCTTGGTTCCCTGGGCAACTCACTCAGAGGGTTCTGAGCAAATCCCTAAGAGATATGCTCCCCATGCAGTTATGCAATGCTGTCGTTAGGATTATTGGATCACTTATCCTGGACTTACAGAGACTGGGAGACAGAGGTGCAGGCTATATGTGGTGAGAAAAGCAAACCATCTCTTAAGTTAATAGATACCAAACATAAGGAACTATAGAAGGGGGATGGGGGAGGAACCCAGCCAGCAATATAAGTCTGCCTTTAAGCCATTCTCAAAGGAGAAAGGGAGTTCTGGTGTGGAAACATCAGTGGTTGAAGCTCACCAGTTGCTTCTTGGAAACCCTATACAGGGTTGCTATGGGTTGACAGCACTTAACAACAACAACAACAAATGAGATGGTGATCCAGGAAATGGGTGTCAGGCAGCATAGTGCAAAACCCTATGACCTAGGGTGACTTGGCAAATAATAACAGCAGCTGATACTTTCACAGTCCTTAAAGTTGGTTTGAGCTGCAAGGTCAGTGGTTCAAGCTCACCAGCCACTCCTCAGAAACCCTATACAGGGTCGCTATGGGTCAGAAGCAACTCTACGGCACTTAACAACTGTGTGCTAGGCATTGTTGCAAGTGATTTGAATCATATCTACACATTTAACACCCTAACCGTCACTATCCAGTGGATACTAATATAAGCCTGTTTTCAGGTGAAGAAATCAAAGCACAGGCTTCTAAAGGCCATGTGTTCAACAAATAGGAGGAGAGCTGCAGCCTGGACTCTTGGCCACTACACCTGACCACCAGGAATCAGTATCTGAAAAAAGTAACTTGACAGCACTTAACAATAACAACAACAACTTGAAAGATTAGATAGGAACTTTAGGGGTCAGTGTGTTACTTCAATGGGAGAGGAACAACTCAGAAAAGGAAGGTGAGAAGGCACATTTTGAAGAATGTTAGCAATGTCACCAAATCAGTGCCATAGAAATCATTGAATTGGTGTGTATTTTGCTGTGTATATTTTCAACAACAACAAAATAAAACAGAACAGAAATCTGTTCTCCACACACCCCAGACTTTTAAATAATTCTCCCTTCCCTGCTGAGCTCTTCTAGGGCCCCCATTAGAAAATTCTCTCAAGATAGAATCATACGTTTTGAAACTTGGCGTACATCTGAGTTATTGTGCTCTGTCTCCCAGGGTGTTTGTTTATTTACTTTTAAAAACTTTTGGAGTGAAAGTTTACCAAGCAAATTGGTTTTCCATTCAACAATTCATACATATTTTGTTTTGCGACATTGATTGTGGTCCCCACAATGAAAGGGCACTCTTTCCACCTCCTCCCTATGTTTCCCATTTCCACCCATTCATTCAGATCTAGTCCTGTTTCCTAAGCTTTGCCCCTAGGCAAATGATGCCCTTTTGGTGTCCTATTCTTGGTTGTTCTAAGGGGAACGTACATTCCTTCCTGATGTTACTGTTCACCTTTCAGCCTATTGGCTGAAAATTGAGGTGGGGGCAAGGGAGAGTTTAGTTCCAGCTTGAAGAGAGTCTCGGAGTTACTGTGTTTTGACCAGACTCAATCCAACCAGTGAGTAGCTGTTGTTGTTCAGTGCTATTGAGTCAGTTCCAATTCATAGTGACCCTGTATAGGGTTTCTCAGACTTTAAATCTTTCTGGAAGCAGAAACTCTCATCCTACAAAGCAGCTGGTGGGCTTGAACCACCTACCTTCTTGTTTGAAAGCCCATGTTTATCCAACAGAGTCTCCACGCCCCCCGCAATACAACCAGTAAGCCTACTGTCTTTTAATTATTTAGAGTTTTGTTCCACATTTTTCTCCCACTCTATCCAGGATCTTCCTTCTATGCCAAAAAATGTGTAAGAGAGCTTCCCAGCCAACGGATTGGAAGAGATCCATATATGTGCCCATTCCCAAAGAGAGGTGACCCACTGGAATGCAAAAACCATTGAACAATGTCACTAATAAAATCATGCAAGATCACATGGCCAGCAGTTACAGCAAGACCCAGGGACTCTTGGACCCAGAGGCAGTGACATGGACACAGAGGACTAGAGTGGAGAGTAAAGCTTCCAGTTGATATGAAATGAGGAGAGATGCATAAGAACACCCATACTTGCAGATAGTACCCACTTGACCTGGCTTCAATGGCTGGATGATCAGAACTTGACTAGAAGAAGAAAGAAGAGGGGAAAAAGAGTAACCTGCTACAATTTTATGAATTTTACCTATACGTATGGAGGTAGTAGCTCAAAAAAGGGAACAAATCTTTACAGCAAGGATAACTCTCACCCCCTCAAGTACACAGGGTTGACAGGGATGGGCAACTCAGACATTGGCTACCCAAAATGGGGGTGCCTATAAAGGCAAGAAGTGACTGGCTTACAAGCTTTTAGGAGAGGGCCTAGTTCTAGATGGGATGGGGGAAGGTAAAATCTCCACTGAATGATTTCCAATCTATTGGGACCGGGCTGGCGAAAGGAAATGGGGATAAGACACTTGTGGTACAATAGTGAATAATTGCCATCAGGACTGACTGTGAGGGTATGAAATATTGAGGTAGATATTTTTTGACAAAAGGAGGAGAGTGATTGATTTTGCAGCCCAGGTGCAGAGGTCCCTGGGACCATCAAGTGAGAACAGTAGAGAGTGGGACCCTACCCAGAGAGGCAGAGACACCAGGGGTGGAAACAGAGATGATGACATGGACAGATGGAGTGGCTGGGGACACTGAACTCAGGGAAGGAGAGAGGCTGTGTGCCGACAGCTAGGGGTGGGCCTATGGAATGTACCCTTTGGTTATTTGATGATCCATGAAGGGGATTGTAATCATTGCAATGAAACAAAATACAATAGGATGAATGTAAAGCTGATATTCTTCCATGTAAACTTCACAATAAAAACTTACAAAAAAAGACTAAGTTCTAATGTCTCAGCCCAAACCATGCAGGCAAGAAGGCAATGGGATGACATATACAAAACTCTGAAAGGAAAAGAATGCTAACCAAGAATCATATACCCAGCAAAGCCGCCCTCAAATACAATGGCAAAATTAAGATATTTCTAGATAAACAGAAATGAAAAGAATTTGTAATAAGATAAACTTTACAAAACATACTAAAGGATGTACTTTGAACTGAGAACAAACAATAGCAGACAACAACTTGAGATTTAGATATATGACTACACCAACCTAAACTCAATTGAGATATAGAAGAATTTAAAGTAAAGCAAACTTACAACACTGGAGACAGGGGACCAGAGATACCAATTTATAATAAAGTCAATAACAAAGCTATAAGAGGTAAAAGTGTAGGTATAGAACTTCCTAATGGTGAGGAAGTCAAGTAGATTTCAATATAAAAGAGACTGTTTTAAATGGGGAAATTTTTTAATATGCTACCGAGTGAACACAAAAAAACTGAATACAGTGTCTCATCAAAATTTTAAAAAAGGAAAATCAGAAAGATTTAGTAGACATTAACACAACAGAAATAAAGACAAAATAAAGAATGCTCACAAACAAAATTATGCGGTACAAAAAACCCCAGCAGCTTACAAAAAAACACACACACACAGCAGAATGACAGCAATCAATTCATTCCTATCAATAATTACAATAAATGGAAATGGAATAAATGTGCCAGTCGAGACAGAGAGTAGCAGAATGGATAAGAAAACAGGATCCTTTAATATGCTGTCTGCAAGATATATTTATTATGCAAATATATCAAGTTAATGGCAATCAAAAATGAGCAGGAGTGGCAATAATAATCTCTGATAAAATAAACTTTAAGGCAAAAATCAGCATAAGAGACAATGAAGGGCATTATATCTTGATATAATTAAACAAAAGGAGCTATAACTAAGCAAGGGGTCAATTAAACAAGAGGGCAAAACCATAATAAATATCTACACCCCCAGTGAAAGAGTCTCAAGATACATAAATCAAAGTTTAACAGAACTGAAGAATGAAATAGGCAAGTCTACAATAATACTGGGAGATTTTAACACACTACTTTTGATGGAGGACAGAAGAACTAGAAAGAAACTCAACAAAGACACAGAAGAAATAAACAACACAATCAACCAATTTAACCTCATGGATTTCTACAGAGCACTCAGCCCACCAACAGCACGA